CTCCAGCTCTCGGGCAGGGGAAAACACGGGAAGGCGTCCCAAAACCACAAGTGTCGTGGTAGGCGAGCGCTGCGCCGCCCTTGTTTCGGGAGAGCCAAGCTGCGGAAGCGATGCTTCGTGTGCGAGGAAAGGGCAACGGGGTGAAACCTGTCAGCGCGGGGAGCCAGGGTCGGGGCGATCGAACTCTGCTGCTCATTCGCGCTCGGTTTTTTTGATAAAGCTCGGTCCTTCGGGATGAAACGTGCTGGGGGAATCTAGGACGACGTCATTTATTATCTAGGCTCCGACTTAAACACGAAACCCCCGTCTGTTTTACGTTTGCTAGGTATTACCGCCCCGGTTCCTGCGGAGAGTAAAACCTTCTCCAGCGTTTCCACGCCGATTTCTGCTGGGAAGGGGGCTGCAGCACAGGGGAAGTCAGGAACACCTCTTGCCATACAGCAGCCAGTTCAGGTGAGGAAGCATTTTTCATGGTTTTCCGTGGTATTCCAAAGTTTTCCACCTTGAGAGTAAACAAATCTGTCGGCGTTCCCCTCCATTTTATTCAAAAAGGAAGAATTAATTCCAGAAACTTTTTTTTCCCCACTTTTGAAGTGCTCTGAACCTCTAAAGGTGATACAGAATTAACCGTTCCCACCAATATTAATCAAACTTTTGGGGAGGGGGGGGCTGCTTTGTTCCTCCTCTTTAAGAGAACCGGTTACTTACCGATGATTTAATGGGATTTCAGGACCGCTGGCGTAGATTTCTGGAAGTACAAATTAGAACAGTTCTACTTTTGTGCAGAAATACATCTTAGACTTGGGCGTTTACACCTGAGCAGTGGGGAAGCCGCCTGCGAGCTCTTTTCGCCAACGACCAACGTTGTCTTGGCAGGCGGTTTCTCGCCGCGTGTTTTGGCGGTTGTTATTTGGTGAAATCGCTCCGGGATTCTAAACAAAGCCATTTCGTTCCGTTTCTTCCGCAGACTAAGCCTGGCGTCATCAGTTCCGTCTCAGGCCTGAACCTGGGGAAAGGTCCCTTGCAGATCCAGGTCGTTGGGAAAGGATTGTAGCAGGCCGTGCC